GGTCTCCCGCCCAGCATGGGGGGGCAGCTGAGCTCTGCGTTCGCAGGATTTGGCCTTGCGTCACTCAGCTCACAGGATCTGATCGTCGCAAAACACTGTCCCAGCGTGTTTGTATTGTGGGTTTGAGTCAGGAGCGGGGCTCCTGGGTACCGCAGCTCAGGACAAGGTTCCTAAACCCTAGACCTGTCCTTGGGAGGTGGCAGAAGGGGACTGGGCACCACCAGCAGCCCAAATTTCTGAGCTTTTTGCTGTGGGCAGGTGTTGTGCAGGTGGTAGGTTCAGGCAGAGTGTTGCATTCACAGGCTGGCTCTGCGTCCGCTGAGCTGCCCGCTCTGCCTGGGCTGGCCTGGGCTGGCCCCTTCCTCCTGCAGGGCTGATGTCCCTTGCAGCCCTTCCCTGGCCTGGGACTTTGTGGGTGCAGGATTGCAAGCCCCCGCTGCAATGTGTGTTGTGCCTTGCTGTAGGGTCTCCCCAAACCTGGCTCAGCCCTGCAGCAACCGGTGCCTGTCCCCACCACCCCAGGACACTGTCCAGCATGGTGGTGGGGCTCTCTGTTGGGGGGATGCCCCCCTTTGTAGGGGCATAGTCAGCATAACAGGCAGGGAGAGCTTGGTTTAGAGGGGATGGCCCTTCTTTGGGGGAGCAGGGGGTGATGTTACCCCATACCAACCCCTGGAGGGTCTCCTGCCCCTTCCCTTAGGGCTCCTTGTTGAGGCATTGGTAGGGACTGGGCAGTCTGACTGTTCCTGGGCAGGTCATGCCTGCACCCCCTTTCCCATCCCCGGGAGCACAGAAGCTAGATTTTCCATCAGGTCTCTTTTTCTTCGCTTCCTCCCCATTAATAAGAGATGAAGCTTATGAGATAATAGAGCCTGGATGGATGCAGAGCTGAGAGATCCTGCTGGTGTGGGGTGTGGAAAGGGAACTGCAGCTGGGAGAATGTGATGTGGGAAAGGGATGTGGTCGCCAGTCTGCACAGAGCATCTCGGGCCAGCTCTTGGAGCAGGGAAATCCCACTGCTGCAACGCGCCAGACTGTCTTCTGGCTCTGACAAACTCTGCAAGATAGCACCTCGCTGCCAGGCTGAGCTTTGGAGCGAACCGCTCTCAGCCTGGGCGGTCTGGGAGTCTGACTCCTCTTCGTCTCATCCTTGAACCGATCCTTGTTTCCTCCCCCGCGTGGAGCCAGTGGGATTGGGAACAGATGCCTGGGGATGCAGGACACTCGCAGTGCTGGAGGGCTGATGCCCGGGGATGCAGGATGCTTGCAGTGCTGGAGTGCTGTTGCCACAGGGATGCAGGAACTCGCAGCGCTGGATGGCTGGTGCCTGAGGATGCAGGATACTCGGAGCGCTGGATGTTTGATGCCCAGGGATGCAGGACACTCGCAGCGCTCGGTGGCTGATGCCTGGGGATACAGGAACTTGCAGCGCTGGATGTTTGATGCCTGGGGATACAGGAACTCACAGCACTGGATGTTTGATGCCTGGGGATGCAGGACACTCACAGCACCGGCTGGCTGGGGCGGATGGTTGATGCCTGGGGATGCAGGATGCTCACAGTGTTTGGTAGCAGGAGTGAAGGGCTGATGCCCGGGGATGCAGGATGCTCTCGGCGCTGGCTCCACTCCGGAAGGAGCATCCTTCCCTGCTCTCGGAGAGAGGCGGCCCTGGGATGCAGCAGTGCCTCATTGGTCAGCGGGACCTGTGGAGTCTGCGGGTTGCCATACC